GAAAGGACGAGAGGAAATGGCCTCAAGTTGCACCAGGGGAGGTTTAGATTGGATGTGAGGAAAAATGTCTTTGCTGAAAGAGTAGTTAAACATTGGACCAGGCTGCCCAGGGAAGTGGTTGAGTCCCCATCCCTTGAAGTATTTAAAAGATGTGTAGATGAGGCGCTTAGGGACATGGTTTAGTGGGCATGGTGGTGTTGGGTTGACGGTTGGACTCGATGATCTTGGAGGTCTCTTCCAACTTTAATGATTCTATGATTCTATGATTCTATGATATATGTTTATATATATATATAACATTACATCGTATTAGTACACTGGTTGACTGAAGCTATCCGATAGCAAGATATGAAATAAGTCTTGTCAAATAGCAATGTTTTGTCACCGCTTAATATCATGATATGGAGCATTATTTCAGCCATATTTCAGCTGTTTGAAAGTGAATCTCTAGAACCCTGAAATGGCAGATCATCAGGCTAAAGAATGGGAATGACAGTAACTTTTACGTTCATTTCCATGACTGAACGGTAGTTCTTTCTGGCTGAGTCTTGCCATCTATCATGCTATGTGCTACAGGAAAACATGTGTTTTAAGGAGCCAGATGCATAATCTCCCACCATGCAAAGCATTTACTAGGTGAAACAATTCATGCCATGAGCCAGCAGTCGTGTGACTGTAACCAGCTTGCAGTCAGTTGTCATTATGAGTCTGTGGAATTTCAAGACCTAAACAGTCTATCATATTATAGATTATAAAGAAGCATCAATGAGATATAAACCTAGAATTTAATAACCCAGTACCAACTAAATAAAACATACTACAGCAAGGTTTTTAGCTACAAGGATCCTTAAATAGGTTTGAAGTACATCGTAATATCCTTTTGGGCTGCCATTGCAACTAAATAAGGGTTTTGGACAATAAATTGGACTCGTTGTTGTGTTACAAAGGCCTTTCTTTGAATATCTTTTTTTTTTCTTTTTGCATTTCTAGAGAATTTCCTCCAGCCTGACAAACTTGCTTTGTCATGTATTCCTGTCTTTGATGATATAATATCCCTCACAAAACTTTAAAACAGTGAGCATCTGGTGAATACACAGTTTTTCTTGCTGTTTATGTCTGAGGTATTTGCTGACTCACTGCAGTACCATTCTTTGCATTCAATTAACTGTAAAACCCAAGAGGCAGCAAAATTATAAACTGATCAGAATTTTTTCTGAGAGCAAATAATGTGCATTCTTTCCAGCTAAAAGCTCTTGGCTGTACTGCGCAAGAGAAGGCCACACTCACACAGTCCAAAGTTCCCCTAAGCCTCCGAGCAGAGCCTTGGTCTTTGTTAGCTCCAGGCAGCCTGATTTTGGCCCTGAATCATTACCCAAGAGCTGCCCTCGCTCCCTCTGCTGCCTCTGCACAGGTTTTCAGGTGTAATTTTGGTAGACAGGACTTATAAGACCAGGAGCATAGCCTGAGTTTCCAGTTCAACGTGGAGGCTAACTCTGTAAAATGATCAAGCACACTTTTTATAAAAAATGAAGAGGTGAAATTTTACCCTCAAATATTGACATTATCTTCTCATCTCATCTCTTGCTGTTATGGCATCTCAGGGCAGAATTTGAGTGCAAATGCCACAGACCGGTGACTAGTATGATCAAGTACCTATCATTAGTTATATTGCTTTCTAGGCTTTTAAAATAGGGGTGGGGAAGTACATAGAAAAAAGTTTATTCCTTTGTTGCCTGTATTTATTGTTGGTTTGTAGACAGAGGTAGTTTGACTTCAGCACCCAAAATGCTATTTGGGCAAGTTGCCCTGTTTGTGACAAGTTAGACTTCCTATAGCATGTTTATCAAAACTCCTTGGGGCCTCAGACTAACCATGATACATTTATTTGGCACTTAACAGTGATGTATTTATTGTCATTATTGCTTGTCCATACATTTGGAAACTTATAGTATATGTTTCTACATTGCATTTTAACTGAAATACGAAAACACTGTGGGATTTCCCTGTCATGCCTCTTATTTCAGATGTTTTATTCCACAAACACAAAGAGAAGGGTAGATCATCTCTGACTTATGCTGACCCAGTTCTCCACTCTTTCTTGCCTGCTACACACCAATATCAGTAGAGTTACAGTGACATAAACCAGAAGAATACAGTAAAAAATCAGATCCTTCCTACACCAAATCACTTTCCACATCTGTTTCCTATTTGTCTTATAATGACACGTAGGATTATCTTGGGAATATATTCTGTTTTAACTGTCATGCCACTGACTTTATAGCCTTATCAAATATCCATTGGTGTGCAGGTTGAGCAATTATCATCTACTAAGAAGAAATCCCAAGAAAACGTAGATTGAGAATAACATTTTTCAGTAATGGCTTGTAGCATTAGTGCCATTTTCTATTATTGTAGTTGAGGTCTAGCACTCTCCTCAATTTACTGCTTTTATTTATTGTGCAAGATCTAGATATGGACCCTACAGCAGAATTTCAAAAACAGTTTTCTTTTTCATTATTTATTCTTTTCAGGTTAGAAGGAGCAAAGTCAGAAAATTGGATAGAAGCAAGGAATGTGTCTGGACTATTAAGAAATAGAAAGAAAGACAAAGGGAAAGAAAGAAATTTAATACTGTGCAAGATATTACTGATACAGGATGACTGTATAAACATAATCAGGCAGGCTACATCTACAAGAACATGCCTTAGGAGATTGAGCTTGAATTCTGGGATCAAACAACACAAAGTTGTGTCCAAATTTTTTATCTTACAGTGCAGTAAGTCCCTCCATATAGACCATTCTGCTAACAGCCCATTTTCCCTTCACCTTTTTCTCCAGTAAATGGAGTGAAATGTGAAGTCCTTCTGATGTTCTTTTGAAAATATGTTATAGACACACACAGATATATGCTTGTATGATGTAATTAAACAAGCCTGTAATAAAAACTATAGCCTGTGACCCACTTACAGAAACATGGACTCGATAGGTTTAAAATAATACCATTTGGAAGTATGTTTGGTCACTGGCCTGGCCCATTCCTGGATTCAGTATAGACGAGCGAGATGGGGAAGGCAGGGTGCCAGGGAGAGAGCTGCTTCCAAATACTTGAATTCACTGCTTGTGAGAAAGACATCAGCTATTTGCCTGAATGATCTTCACATTAAAACAACATTACGAAAGCAATTGCTGCATAAAATTTGAGTTGTTGGTATTTTTTTGCATCCTCCACAGCATTATGGAGTGCCAAATCTCTAGCACTGAGCACTGGAGTGTTGCCCTTGAGAGTGAAAGTATTGTGCACAATTTTGAGACTTTTACTTGTGAGCACAGGACAATGTAAGACTCTGGAGTTTACATGCTAGTTAAGCTTTCATGAAGTTCTAGGCTGACACGTTCTGGAGAAGCGAAGCTGAATGGGCAGCTTAGGAACAGCCTATAATTGCTTGAAGGGTAGTTACCATGGACGCTTTTGCCATCTACTTGCATCTTTGCCATCATTGCAGATGATATAATAAGGACAAAAAGTCGCAAGTTGTTCCCTGGAAGGTTCAGTTTAGAAAAAAAATTCTTCATTAAGAAGGCAATGGAAGTTGCCCAGAAAGGTTATAAAATTTCCATTCCTGAGGGTTTTCATGACCTGGCAAGATTAAACCAAAACTGACCATACCCTGTGTTGACAATAGTCTTCTTTCAAGTCCTTCTGGACTTAATGATATTTAAAGAGCCCTTCCAGCCAGCAGCTTTATGATTCTGTGTTTGGAAAGGGAAAGTGCT